ACCTTGGTTCCAGAGCACGGGCACCTGATCCTCGGGCAACTGGCCCTTTCGGAAGAGTGGTATCCGATTTCTCAAGTGTCTCCGCTTTGGGATTCGGAGCAACATTCTCGACTGCATCTTGAACTAACTTCTACTTCCTCTTCGGCTGCTTCAGTGATCTCTCCTCTTCGAACCATCTCTTTGCGATCCTTCAATGGGAAGGTAAATGGTTCTGAGACGTCGATACGAATGACTCTCTTGATTTGATGCATATCCTCATATTTATCTGCCTTTGCCGATTTGAGATCCACTACAAAGTATTGGGTTCTCCACTGAAACCCGGGATGAACGATATAACCAAGGAAAATCCCGGCGCTTGAAGTCGGATCAAATCTCAGTTCGTCCTTTGGTTTCTTCTTGGGACCGTTCCAATAATGGACCATGCATCCAAAAGGCCAACGTTTGATGGGTGATTTGTCCCCGAACCTCAGCTCCCACGGAGATGCAGTTCCGTCCAATGCATACAAGTTATTATTCATGACACACCAATGGCGAGCGGCATATGGCCAGAATCCCTCAAGCACGGTCCGGGTTGACCTCTCCGCGACGGCATTGCTGGCAGAAATGTATGCCTTTGATAGGACATGTCTCCATTTCAACTCCTTCATAGCGTTGATCAACTCGGGAGCATTGTCGGAATCTTCATCATCATTGGACACAAAGTGTTTCATAGCCAGGATGACTGATTCGGCACTCTTTCTGGCACTGGGATACACACACATGAAGTTGGAATAAATGTCTTTGACGATCAATGCACATTTCTCTTCATCAATTCCCATCTCATATTCATCACCGGTAATGAGAAAATCACATGTAATGTGGTCACCAAATTTCTTAGCTTCGACAATCGAGGACCCGTCTCGCCGATAGGATGGAGGCTTGGTCATCTTTGCCTTGTTGCAAACATCACAGTATGGGTTCTTGGGGTGATGACTCACCAAATGTCCAAGTGATTTCGCCTCCTTCAACAACGATATCCCCTTTCCCAGGTTCCTGTCCAAGTTGCCTTCGGCGGGTACCTGCGGGACATCATCGTTTGCATCATCCATCGGCGAGACCTTCCGGTCCGCACTGCCCTTTGGTGATTCTTTCTCTTTCTCCGGCGTGGCCTTCCGACCCGCTTCACTCTTCTTTGGGCTCTCTTCCAACACATCCATCCCATCATCACCCGAGGCCGGCGCAGGTTCAGCAGGAACAGCTGCACCACGTCCAGGAATCGGTGGGTGTGAAGTCAAAGAAGCCGTCGTTGAAGGTGAAGCCGAGCGGGGTCGGAAGTTCGAATTATGGGTACACGGAGTGGCATTGACTTCGGCTCTGGCAGGAATGTAGGGGACGTAATCCCTGACAACAAGCTCTATCTTTTCTCCGTCCGGTTTCCTAAAATAAGGAGGTTTACCGGATCGCCAAACGAAATCATAACCTTGATCAACACATCTCACGCCGACCGACATAACCGGCGGTGTAGACTCGAGAAGATACGGATCAAATCTGCAACTCAACGTGTCATTGTACACCTTTGCCTGGAGATAGGACGAACTGTGACCATTAGCTGTGATTATGGCTGTTGGCCGATTCGAACGATATTGAAACTCATCTGGGACGTCGCGTCGTGTCAACAGGTCGTGAGCGCTTCCGGTGTCGGCAATCCAATCCTCATGCGAACGATGGAAGTATTTGACCTCTCTTGGCGAGGAAGCGGGCAAAGCGACAAGATCATCGGGAATGCAAGAATCACAACCAAGGTCTGAATCACACATATACCCACATGCTGCTTTGATTCCCTTCAGCCACCCGGATACTGCTCCCTGAAGCATGCGTGCTGACAAGACTGAATCTTCAACCGCTTGTTTGTTGCGCTTGGTCTGGTAGCTAACGGGAAAAGTCTTCTTTGGTTTGGATGGTTCAGAAACGAATGGATCTAATCTGCCCCATACATGAATCTTCGTGATATCTGGCTTGAGATTGAAAGAGACACTCGGACACGCGACATGCGGCTCGCCTTCCCAGGCCGCCTGGCTCTCGCTGACGTTGATTCCGACTTGATCCAACATGGATGACGGGCCATTCAACGAAAGACTGTCGACGACGGAAGCGAGCATGGAAGCGACTATACAGCTGCTGGGGTTGCCTTGCCAGCGCTACCCTTTGGCCCCCTGGAACCCTTTGAAGATCTGGAGCCTCCGGACTTGCGCGAACCGCTGGAGCCCCTCGACTGAGATCGGTCTCCCTTTTTCCTGCGGCGCTTGTCCTTCTTACTCTTGTCACTCCTCTGGGAATCCCGGGAAGGCGATCTGGCAGGCGTCGCTTTCCTTGGCCTCTGTTGACCTTCATGGGAAAACTCACATTTATCCCCCCTCTTGCAACGTCCAGCCTTCCAAAACTTGCGTGGGATTTTGGAGGTGTCCTTCTTCTCCCTACCTCTCGATTGTGAACGCCCCCTAGGACTCTTGGTGGCGTTCTTTTCACGCTTCTTGGGTACCTCATGCTTGAATGGACAGTTCTCTTTGCTACAGCCCCCCTTTGTTCCACTGAACACAGAAACCCCTGAGGATGAATGGAGTGCGTGCGTCGGCAGCTGGCGCGGACGTCTTGGCCCCTCCAACACTAGCGGCAATCCGTCCCCGATTGTCCTCCAGCCTTCCCCTCATGAGATGTCTACGAACAGCATCATACAGGAACTGATAGCAATGCTTTGGACTTCCCTCTTCGGCCCGGTGATACTCCTCAATGTCATGGGCGATTGCCCTGTGATTCTTCACTTGCTGGTAGAATAGAGTTTCCAGGACAGTAGCTTCAGGCAAGTGAGTAACACCTATAGTAACGGAATCCCAGTTCGACAGAAATGTCTTGCCCTTCATCTTCACATTGAACAGGTCACTGAGTGAGTAGGTAGCTCCGTGTTTGATGTTCGTGCTAAAGTAGCGATCCTTCTGAGACTCCTTCTCCTTGAATGTGTCAACCTTACGCGCGAATTCACCTGTGGCAATGGATGACAGTGCTGCAAGAAGCTTGGCATCAAGAGTGGTAAAACCCTCAGGACTCACAAGACCCTCAATTGTCTGACCTTCAACCCACACCTTGTTGATCCACGAGAATGCCTTGTCCGGCTTGGATGATGCAGCCCTTACCGCATCCCTCACACGGATCTTCCAATTGCGATAGTTCTCGGGTTGTGGAAAAGAAGGTATTTTGATGTGGTCTGCTTCCTTGGTGGTACTACTCTTACCCCCCAATACCTGTTTGAGCTTCCTCATAAGAGCTTTGTCTGTCAATTCATCGTCATCTTCATCGAAGTCATCGTCGCCATCTGGATCGTCATCATCCCCCACAGGACCGGGCGGCCCACCCCCAGACTTGGGCATCTTAAGGAGCGGAATTCCCGGGCGTCCAGGATTCACTGGGTCACCTGACGAACGACCACCCCGACCGAAGTTGCCCGACAATGCATTGGCTGCCAATGACCCGTACCCATCATTCCAAGGACTGACCGGCTGGAAAACTGTGGCATTAGGGGAAAATACGCCTCATAGACGGAGTACCAAACAAATCGGCAGTTTTGAAAGACCTTGCATCATCGGCTTGGGATAGACCTGTAGGAGGTGCTTCATGCGCCGGCGCGAACTCACGATTCTCGGCAGCTCCTTCCGGAACGCCAGGCGTCTCGTCCTTCCGTCCCTTCAATTCACGAAGTTCCTTCAGGAGTTGCGCCTGAACGTTTTCCGTCTCGGCCAATCGCCTTTGCATCTCAAAAGATGCTTGTTGTTGCTGCGCGATGTTCATTTCAAGGAAAGAGACCTTCTGGCTTTGTATCATCTCCAATCCAGCGATTTGCTGACGATGGTTCATGGCCATCTCCATAAAATGGTTTTGGGTCTGTTCCTGCATAGTCTGATAGCCAGCCTCAGCTGCATTGATGAATGAACGCGCCTGTGATCTCATCTCCTCATTCTCAGAAAATGCTTCATCAGCCTCACCTCGGAGCCTCTGTGCTGCGAGCGTGAGTTCTGCTCGTCGCCCCTCCAGTAGCTGATTCTGAGATGCCTGGCGCATCATCTCTGCGACCATTGCAGGAGGTGTATGCACGAATGAAAAATTGGCCTGATTAAAAATCGGCGCGGCGTTCCCGCCCGCTCCCCACCCATCAGCTGACACAGCAGATCCTGCGTCTGGTGTAGATCCATCAACGGTAAGTGAAAAGCGGCGGGGTTTCCACCCACGCTCTCCCGCCCATCCGTACCTCCGTACGGCGCAGCCAGCCTTGCGAGGGCTGCCGTGTCCAGACTTAAGTCCATGGCTGCGAATGACGAGGGAGCAATACTACGGGCCTAAGGCTACGGCTGATAACCTATGTTTACAGGCCAAAAACCAAAAGCGCACACCTTTTTCTTGAGCCAAAGAGTCGGAGTCAGAGGTATAGTATACAGTAGTGTACGTGGTCTACCTAATAAAACCAGAATCTCCATCGCCCCCCCAATGAGCCTGAAGCAAAATGGGAATCATTATGAAGTTATACTAGCGGCAACTGAGGCTAGATTAGTAGCAACTGGGGCTTGCAAAAGCTCCGCTGCCGTGATAAAATGCTCCGCTGCCATAGCTGAAAAACCTTTACTGCCATGATTGAAAAAGCTCTGCTGCATCACTCAGCACCATATTCACAAAGCATGGTAGGCACTCACTGCACCATGTTGCATTTGGGCCATAATAAATTTACCTAAAGACTTTTCTCAGAAGATGCTCCGGTGTTGTGGTGTGACTTTTTTGCGTTCAACTCGCAGCCGAACCCGCTTCAACGCCTCGCTCTGGCACTCAAGAATCAAGTGAAGTCTGCTTTGTAACTAAAGAGTTTCAACACCACCCATGTTTTCAAAAAAGGTACTTCTCTAACGCCTTGTTCAAAGTAGATGTGTAACATATGTACGCACTAGACATTTACACGTGCTTATAGCTCACCACACGGCCGCTCATCCACGGATGAATCCACCTCCACCTTAGAGGTGGAAGTTCGGAGATGGAAGGGAAAGCGATCGAGAGAGTGAGGGAGATAGATAGAGAGAGCCACAGTAGGGAGCCCTTAATCGCTTCTTGTTCCTAGTAGTGAGGCCAGGAGCCCCTAGTAGCGTCCTTTCTTGACCGCTTTGCTGTGTATGTTTCATGCAGAGGTCATATATTCCTATTAGGAATGAATGTGTGTTTACACATATATTTCTGCAACCTTCTTTGTTTGATCGATTTCCCCTTTGAACACTTAACGGGTTGAGGACATGGCCACGACTTCTCTCAAAGGATTGACCTGGGTCCGGGTTGGGGAAACTACGGATCGAAACGACCGGATCGAAGGCAGCTCCTGGTGGTCCTAGAAAACTTTTCACTTGAACGTTCAGGCCAATACCCCTTGGCCTGGTATCTTCATTTCAGAACTAAGAACTAGATCCATAATCTTCTGGAATCCAGCCACCCGCATGTGCTCACAAAAGCCTGAACTAAAATAGCCTAGTTCCGGTGGTTCTAAGATTTATCACTTCTGGACTCCAGATCGACCTGCTAGCAGATCAGAGCGAAGATCACTCTCCATCCAAGCTTTCAAAGCAGCGGCACGCCGTTCGTTTGGTTTGGGCGTGCCACTGCACCAGATCCATTCAGTGATGAATTCATCCTGCACTTGGGTCAGAGTCTTCGAAGCACCACTTGGAGCACCATCTCCTCTAGCCGAGGGTGGGCCATCTTTGACAACCCTTGGGACTCCTTTGGAAACCCACTTCTGGTGCCACTTGGTGCTATTCTCACGATGTTTCGCTGTCGTTTTGTATTGGTGTCTCTCTTTCTCCACATGCTCCGACATGGCCTCCATTGCTGCGTCTGGATCTTGAGAGTCCTCCACGTCCACAAGGGAAGTTGAAGGTTCTATCGTTGGAGTCTCCTTGGCCATACCCGCCGACTCTGGACCTGCGAATCCGCACTGGGCAGGATCAAACTGGAGCATCCGCTTGAGGGGTGGGTCATCTTTCTCCTCCTCAAGGCTCGGATCCGGATCCGGGTAGAGGAAGTTGGGAACCTCAGAGTGCATCATCTCATCAATCTCGGTCGGAGTGGCGGCCCTGGAACCTCTTTGGCGCGCGTGCCGGAGGATGGTGGAGGGGCATCCAAGCGCCTCAGATGATTGAAAGTTGATTCGACTTCAATTCAATCATGTTCATTCACTATTAATTATGTCTAGTGATACAAAACTGAAATCAACCTTTGATAGGCATCACAACCCCACTTTCCCAGCTTTGGTTGAGATACTCAGTGGGTGTCTCAATGACGGGCTCGACAGGTGCAGCGGCCAAAAGTGGGATGCTCTTCACGAGGCACAGGTTTTGCGACCGGGGCCGAGGAATATCATGACGCGGAAACATTGATTTTTGGTGGGCCGCTCGGTTTGTCCAAACATCCCACCACCAAACTGGGTAGCAGGTCGCAATTCGTACTCCATCAATTCACCATCCACAACAACTTGGGAAGAAACCGAAGACATCGCGAGTCACGACAAATGAAACAGTGCTTGAGATTGCTGCTAGCTGCCATGGAACAAGAAGTATCCTTTCTAAGACAATACCAAAGTTGATGCAATATATCTCCGATATAGACGCTTCACAAACTGCAGCGCTTAGTGAACATGCGATCAATACCTTTTCACCCCCAAAGATGTCAGATGGGCTCGCCATCTTCTGGGATTGATGCCTTATACACAAGGCACGAATGCCAGCACTCACAGCTTCGTGCGTTGACATGCTGACCGACCCCAAAAGCGTCTCCTCCCCAAACACTAGAGAGTCCATCAGTCAACATAAAAAGATTGCTTTGGTTTTGACACGTGTTTATATTCTTTTTGGAGAGGCGGAGGAAACGCAGGAAACCTGATTCACTCTTCACACGATACGCTGGCATTCATCCTTCGCCAGCTTCAAGTCAGACGGGAGAAACCACAGTGGTTTGGCCCCAGCGATCATCTTCTCCGCTGGGTACAGCCTCATTCGTCAAACCTGCCATTGAGGATCATCCCAGGTAAGGTCACTCTTTGAACAGGGACCCAGATCAACCCATGCAAACAAAACACCCGTGTACAACAACCTACTCAAAAATACTCAATGTGAAGCTAGGGGCCAAGACCAATGGGGAAGCAGCGAGCTTGGACAGCGCGAAGTGTGGAAGCGATGTTGGCCCCCCTTCAAATTCTTGACCTGGATTGCCTGCGGTCGCCACACCACCGGATTTGCCGTGTCAGGTTCGATGTTGAAGCCATCAGGCGCCACTCCTTGCTGTACTTGAGGTGGGCGGGCGCAACTGTGCCCACCGACCGAATAGTCGACCAACTGCTTGGCAGACTCCACATGCTGGAGCAGGGATCTCAAAGTCTGCACTTCAGACTCCGTCCCGGCGTCCGCCAAACTAAACTCAGCACCCCCAAACATGAATCTTTTGCTGAAACATATAAGTCTGTCACATGAATTACATTGAATTACTTTGTTATCTTTTTTGATTTGGCTTCACGCGGGAACAGTAGCTCCTCAAAGACGCATGGTGCCTCATCAGACTGCATCCGGGTTGTTGCTCTCAAACTTGGTGGCTTTGTCCCCGGTCAGCCACGACCCCGGGCCGTGCGATATGATCTGGTTGTCGTCCGCTCGGATGTGAAGTGGTGACTTTGCCACCACGTACAGCTCAGGTCCCGCAGCCAAATAGAAGGAACAGGTGCTGGTAAGACCTGGCATTTGGGTCAAATCACTCCCGAACTTCTGCTGAAGCCTTGCCAAAGTGGTGGGTGCTCCCGGGAAGCAATTCTTCCAATCAAAGTTTGGATGTTCCAGCTTCACCTCACTCTTGACAGGAGTCTGCTCTTGCTTGGCGTCGGGGCCGCTGGGAGTGCCATTCTCAGCTGTCCGGGTAGGGCTGGGCGTGGGTGCTTGAGGAGTACCCCAATCTTTGTCAAATTCGACAAGTATGTCCCTCCACTCACGGCCGAACAATGGGCACTGCATGAAGTGCGACCGAACATCCGGTGGAATGTTCAGGCGGCCGTGCTCATATTTGCACAGCCTCAGGTCAGGGACTGCTGGGCCCTGTGGAACATCATCTTGGGGAACATCCTTTTTTGTACTTCTTCACTTCCTTGTTCATAGGAGCCTGGCTGTTCCTCCAGGCCTGACAGGCATTGAGCGCATAACAAATATATCATATGCAATATGTAAATCAGTAGTTAGAAATACTGTGTATATATATATATTTTTTGTATCTATGAATACTTACACATGCAATATTTATAGTAGCTCACACTTGAAAATGAACCTCATTATGATCTGTTGATGTTTGGCCAAGTGTTGAACATCTCTCCTGGAGCAAGTGGTTCTTCACAGCCTCTCTGGCAAATCTGCGATGCCCTTCGATGGCGGCGCTCCCAACCACCCACATGAATACCTGCGAGCTCAACACACCCATCGTAGGCCGTAGGATGGATGAGGACTGTGCCGAAGTTGTTCCTCACCCCACCTGAGCTGTTGCCACGTTCACTGGACTGATTTAACATAGATTTCATGTATGGGCCAAGTATTGAGATTTGAGGAACCACAACATATAAAATGTTTCGCTAATCTCTTCCGAGAATCTCATAGGGTCTTCAACACGGACTTGGGGACACCAACACCTCCAAGCCACTGGGATGTTTCTTGAAAGTCCGTGAGGTTTCGTCTCTCACAGTGGCTCAGCAGGGGCTCGCCCGGCGCGCAGAATTCTTTGTCAGGAATCTGCCTGGTCCACAAGGCGCTTGTGCAGAACCTGTCCAGGATTTGGATGGTAATTTTCATGGAGGGTTGAGGGTGGCAATCACACCATACAAAACCAACCCCAGTTCATACCAGACCATAAACCCTGATCAGAATCCTGACTAGAAACGCGTTGATCGAGTGCTCTGGCCCCTCGAATAGCCCTGTGAGCCGTGCCACGGAGAGGAAGTGTGCTGTCCGGCACTCCGATGTAGCACATAAAAGCACCAGGCAGCTCACGATTGCGGTGAAGGTCTGCCAAATTGAGGTTGATGGTAAAAGGGCGCAATTCGATCTTGTGGCACGCGAACTTGTCCTCCAGCTTCCTGCCCAAACTCAAACCCTTCCGTCATCTTCCGTCCCATCTTAAAAAACAACAAGCTAAAACAATTCTTTCCTTTTTAAACGAAAGGGGCAATGTTCGACTGGTTTCACAAGTCTTGCCTCATATCCTTTGGCAGTGACCCTGCCGAATCCGTCCCAACAAGCAAAGGCGGGATGAGAATCATGGCACTTCCTCAGGGTATGCTGATAGAAGTGAAACATGCGCACGCTGAACCCGGTGTTGGTAAGTCTATAGCACTTCAAACCTTTGAAGTAGTTTCCTTTTGAGGTCTTAAACGTTTTGCTCCAGCCATTTCACCCAAAGCATTGACCATGCCCTGCTGGAGGACCCCCAATTTCGCGCAGTCGACATAGAAGATCGTGTCAATATCATGTGGAGAGACCTGCGCATTAGTTGAGAAAGATACAATGACCACGAGGGTACTTAACACCATGACTACCTGACATCATGGCGAGGTTCCTCCTTCATCAACACACTACCTGACATCATGGTGAGTTTAACTCAGCTTCCCCCTCAATGGGCCTTGGCGGCCACAGCAGCTAAGCGGTAGATCTGGTCAAGCTTGGGGTCCACACTGGCCTTATCCACCATCAACCCGACGCGGCAAGCCCGCTCCACGTAGGTCTCGCAAAGCCTTGGCGACGCTGCGCGAACAAGAAGGTGCACATGATTTGGGGACGTCCGGGGTGATTTTTTTGGACTGCCTTACTTCAAGGATAGTTTTCAAGGGACAAGGCAAGAGAGACCAGGCCCGGCCTAACCCATAAGAAACTTACGAAACAGAGAGGACAACGCATACTAAATGTATTTTTGGCTAGAAACTGCTTGCCAAGCTCAAGTTGA